CGACAATGATGGAAACAGAGAGGGTTTACTAAAAAATTTTTTTTTAATATTTGGGGAAAAAATATTACGTCATTTTTTTTCCAATATATTTTTTTGTGAACAACTTTTTATTCAAAAATAGTTAACACTGAGTTGGGCAGGTAGCAACACAGATTTACAACACAAAGTAAAACCATCAATACCAGCCCATCAACATTATCGTTATTGCAAACGGACAACAGATTGTCACACATATTCTCTCATGACACAAATGACAATCGACCATGCCTGAGTAGTTTTACCCTGTGCTCCCTGTATTATTGTGCATGATCCCTCGTGCTGCAGAAGACAGTCATCAGTGAAAAGAAACAATCTGGGCGAGGCTGCTAAACCCAGGGCACTAGACATTTAACTAGACATAAACAGATGTGATCTAACCAAAGGTATTGAAGTTGCTTGTAACACATCAGCTACGGCCATCGTACTGTGTCCCATCTTGGCAGTTTGTAATGTCTGGTACTCTCTGTTTGGACATATAATGTCACATATACTAACGTCCTGCCTGTCATGTCCATCTGACCCTCCTGCCTCCTCCCTGACGTGACCCTGATGAGCCACATCTGTTGCTTGCTTGTTGCCCCTTGTTAGTCTTTGTATAGAAGTCCCTGATTGTCTGGTCATTAGCGTCTGCCTTCTTGTTGCCTGTGCCCTTTCCTGTACCAGTCATCATTTTTGATCCCTTACGGTCCTGTTTGCTTCCCAGTCCCTGTTTAGTTTGGGTTTAATAAAGCCCCATTCACGCTCTCAGTCCCTGCCCTCGAGTCCTTCATCTCTCAATCCACAACACCGTAAACCAATCAATTCATGGATTCAAGCAATTAATATTTATTTCCTTAATATTTGTATACACTATGCTTACTCGTCTGCACTATGTGTACTGTCTTTGCACTTTGTCTTCTTCTGCACTATATGTTTCTCTGCACCTTACCTACCTTGCTGCTGTATGCACCAGAGTTTCCCCTTGGGATCAGGAAAGTGGCCCCTGTCTTATCTTATCTCATCTTGTCACAGTTCTATTGCTTGACCTGAAAGGACAGGACCCGTGTACCTCGGATTGGTGCACTGTCTCTCCCTGTAGGTCACTCCAGCCTCACAGGTCCGTGAGCAGGCAGACCAAGCTGACCATTCTGACCAGTGCCCGTCCACTGGGCTGGGACCTTCATCGCCTTGCTTCACACACTGACCTCGGCGACACCACTGTGGGGGGACAAGTCCTCTTAATACTGGAATCGTCAAATGACTATTTTACAATCTAAAAAAATCTATCTAAAAATACTTGTAGTATAATGTTAGACAAATATACTTGATCCATGTGCATACGATTCAGATAAAAATAAATGAACATAAATCTTGACTAATGCCTTCCTTTTTGGTCCCCTCTGTTAGACAATGACCGCTCATTGTAGCATGCACATAAAAACACTGCTTTCAAACAAAATGAAAAAATAAAAAGGGCTGAATGAGAAACACAGAGCTTGATAAAATTCCAGTGTGTGCTCGCTTTTGCTGACATTTCACGGAAAAGTGCACCCAGGATTCCACAGCGAACGTGTAATTGTTTGTATTTTGGAATTGTGCCTTGAAAGGGTTGCTTTCGATTAAACTGTCATGTTCAATATACTGGGAAGTCAAAACGTTTAGGACAACCTGCATGACTGAAAATCAGCAACACTAAGCAACAGATTACATACAAATGGCTATATCTCTTTGTGTCATCTTTCAGTTCTTCAGATTTATCCCAATACTAGCACTTGCAGAAACAGTAAATTGCTACCCAGATGTAGCAATTTAAAACAGCTATTTTAAAAAATTAAATCGTACAGTTAAACTCTGGGCACTCTTGGGAGAAGAATGCTGAACACTACATCAATAAAAAGGTCAGGACGTCAGGATTGCTGAAATGTACTGACCCACAAGTTCCGACTGTACGTATGCAGCACAGGAACAGAAACTGTAATGACTGTTCTTAATACTGTACAGTACCAACACAATATGAAGTGACACCATCAGCACATCTCAGCAGTTCCAGTCCAGTCCTCGAGAAAGATATTCCTTCACCGTAGTTGAATTAATAAGCACAGGAACATTGGGGGTTAAGGACCTTGCTCAAGGGCTCCATGATAAAATACTGCTGACTCTGGGATTTGCCCATCCGATCTCAGTATCCTAACCTACCTGATTCTATGGTTATGATCAGTTTTCTCCAGCAGTTATGGCTACATTAAATGGGATGATTCAAATATAGTTTAAACAAAGATGACAGAGGCCTTCTCTGTGTCTCTGGCCTGCAGGGAATGCTGGCTATCTGCTGTGTGATGGCTGCATCACTGCCGGGCTGAAGTGCCACTTTATGCTAGCTCAGCTACGGGTCTGGCTGTGGAAGTTCTCGTGATGTTCTTCTCACCATGTCCGGGCCACACACTGAGCCCTCGGCGGCTGGCATGAACTTGGTCTCACATTTTCTCCCTGCGCGGTGACACCACAGTCCCTTACAGATGTCCTGCGGGACACAGCATGCAAGTCAAGACCTTCATTGTATTTGGGAGCATGACAAAATATCACATGGACAGAATAAAGAATGATGCATGCTACACAATCTGGGACTGGAAATCAAATGATAGAAGATGGAAATTAATTTGGTTACTAATTCAATAGCTTTAAAGGGCCTTTATATTTCCACAGAAGGAAAGTGTGCATGTATAAACATATTCATTTTTTGCATTTGGTTATATTGTGACTGTCTGGATTATTTTTAGTATCTTGGGCACTAATGTAGAATAACCTGCTTTGCCCAGATAAACTTTTGGATGCAGCCCAATGCATATTAATGCAGCTGTTAGCTAAGTAATCGCTTCTGCAGAGATCCTGAAATTGCTATGGACTTTACACACTTTTTAATGGATCTGTTATTGCAGATCCTCTGTTGTGCATCGTTATTGACTAATGATATAATCATCAGATTGGACCAGAGTGTGTATTTCGCGTTCTGTAAGGGTTGTGGTGCCTTCAATGAAGATGCTTATGGCTGCAAGTGATTCATGAGCGTATCTAGAAAAGTCATAATTCATTAATATGTAAGTGCCTAATGTAACAAGAGCTGGTGTGCAAATGTAACACGAGGACTGAGATTATAAAAAGGAACAAGAAGCTTATCTCAAATGGTATCACTAGACTAAAGACTAAAAGCTCCTTTGTAGTCCATCACGTTATATGTATGAATTAATTGTATTGTAGGAGACTACCAGAATCTACAACAACACTGTAATTTACATACACAACAATGTAAATTAAACGATTAACTGCCCCTGCATAATGATGTCATATAGGTTAACACATGTAATGATCCTCTGGGTTTGAATCAATGAAAGACGTTCAACGAAACAACACACATGTAATTCATAGTTACAAATTACACCATGAACTTCACCAGCGATCCCATTTCCATCCCCCCCAGTCCTCCCAGCTGGATTTAGACAGAGCAATCAGTATTCCAGTCATCCCAGTCCTCCTCTGGCATTCCTCTGAAGCTGGGGCAATTAGCCTGAAAGGCAGATTCTGGGGGGGGGGGGGGGGCGCACCCCCGCCCCCCTCCCCACGCAGTAAGCGGGCGGGCCCCCTCACCTTCTTGAAGTCCAGGTTGCAGAGCTTGGCTTTCTTCCCAAACTGCCACTTGCACTGTGTGTCAGCATCGTACAGCTCTCCGGGTAACTTCTCCGGGAAGACATACTCCTTCACTGATCGGGGCTCGTTCGAGAGACAGGTTGCTTGTGTGGTACTGGGGGTTAAGGGCAGATGATTATTCCTTCTGTTATGGTATACAGCCAAAGAAAAGGCTGGCCATTTGTTTTTTTGCACAGGGTTGTGTATCTCTCCAATATAAAATGCATCTAGATACTGTACAGGGTTTACAATACAAAAAAGATACATATTAATGTAAAGAACTGATAAGTAATTCAACAATCATTCAATATTATTCAATTCAAATACAATATGATTTGACTCAGGTCCAACTGGATACAACTTAGATCAATTTCGTATTTATTGAGGTGCCCATCTTTGGATGTAAGGGCATCTCAGTAAGTAAAATCATAGTCAATAAGTTTCTTTTTTCCCCAAAACAAGTCATTATATTTATTTTGTACTGCAAATCTGCAATCATAAAATCTTAACATGAGAAACATTACAGTAGTATGTAGTAAAAAGTGTGTAACGATTGCGGCTTTATAGGGATAAGAACGATTTCCTTCTAAAAGCTGGATTTGGGGGTTTGCACCAATGAATCAGTGCAGCGTATTATTGACACTTGGACAGAAATTCTACTTCAAGTCAGTTTTTCATTACGCCCATAATTATAGATGCTAATGTCATCTTTTAATTGACTGTAGAAAATTATATACAAACAGTAGTCATGCATTTCACAGCAGTGATTATGATTCTGAATTTATGTGACTGACAGGATAAATTCTGCAGTTCACCCTTCCTAAACTTAGGACATGCATTCTTACAGGTGATTACACTCTATACTTGGAAAAAATATGGTTATTAGTAGAAATATTTTTTCTATTGCACAAATTAATTTAAAATAACTTAAATAGCAGGAGTTCTTTTCAGATGTTAGTAAGGCATTTAAAACCAAATTAGCACGCTCGCTATTTGAGACACTGGCTTGAGTTTGAGCGAAGCCTCGTTCTGTGACATTGAATCCCACCCAGACCTGGTTGTGTCTTGTTATATATTGGGAAGCAGCTGAGGAATATATACAGTCGGTATGTCTGTCTTTTTTAGGATTCTGCAGACAGCATGTTAGCCTATTCAGTAGATAATCCGTATCCCTAAATCCCCTGGCATTTCCTACCATACCCACAACCTGCAGTATATATCTTACACTGGGAAAAAAAAGCTCCTTTGAGAAACTTTCAGGGGTCATGAGATGCTGCTGGGCATTCCAAAGATGTTTTTTCTGCACAGACTGAAAACAAACACCACAAATTAAAAAAATAAATAAATACAGCGAGTGCATCGACCCCATTAACTCATGCCTGGCCTGGCTGAAGTCTGTTCTTTATGTATGAACATTTAAGACACGTTTGAGATGATGTATTGCACGAGCAATGCGATGTATACAGTGTGACCACTGGCTTGACATTTGTCTTTTTCGCTAGGGAGGTTACTATTCAAAAAAGTCATACAAAATTGTTTCAGAAACAGAGTGTTCGGCTATTTTAAATCCACCTATTAAAATGTTCCATAGACACTGGAAAGTAACCATGAGATCAGAACAATGTTTCAACACAGAAAGGGAACTGGCTATTCACTGAGGAGGGCTGTAACTCATACATGATGGACTGTGATTTTTCATACGCAAAAGGTAGAAGCAAGCAAAGAAGGTTAAACAACTCAAATATAAGTGACTCCGGCTGCAACGCGGCCAGTATTTCCAGGGGCTTTAAAGGTGGTCCCAGTGCTCATGTTTAATATAATCTTGACAAGACTAAAGGGAATGAGGTCATGATGCTTTAATAACCTAGTGAGGAAATAATGTGTCTCCAGGAGTGACTGATGGTATACTTCAGAGATACTTTAACACGTCGGTTAATTTAAGGGCTGGGGAAGGCCTATCAGGTTTCATCAACATTCTCGCAGACATTAGCTGTAACACAAGACAAAGTAGAGCAGTATGGAGGCACATGTCAGCCAGTGTTGCGTGTTTAAATAGCAACGCCACCTAGCCCCTTCTTTCATAGATGACTCTGGTGTCTGGACTCTTACTGGAAGCCTAAACGCATGACCACTGGAAACAAATTCTCGCTGAAGGGCACGGTTGTTAATTTCAGCGCACTATTTTTTTTTTTTTCCCATGTGATGTGTTTGCCACATGATTTATTGAGAGTTTTTCTCAAAGTACCTATTATAATGTTGCAAACAGCAACATAAGTAGCTCAAATATCATCAAGAGAATAGTTACTACACTCTAGGTAACTATTGAGACGTTGAAATATGTGCTCTAATTCTTAACCTCATTAGTATAAATATGTCAAATATAATACCAGTAGAGTAGTAACATGTATAAAAGATAAGTAAGGATGTTCTGTAAAAACAATTTAAGCAGTGAAAACATATTTAGCACACCTTAGAAACTTGCTAAGGTACTGTCTGCTGCAGGCAGACCATGAGAAGATTCCATTGTGGCCAGTGAGGATCGGAGACATGATGTTCCCCTGAGACTTCTTGCAGACATTTCCCTCTCCATCGTGGACCATTCCGAAGCTGCAGGAGGACAACTGTGTTCAATGAGTGCTGCAGCCAAGCATGTCTGACAATACAAGGAGTATCTTCTATACTGACTGATCACCTTGCCAAGTACAAATCATACTCTTACAATGCTCTAAACTGCAAATTATTTTCCCCTGACTTAGAAGCAATTTGCAGAAGAAGATCATCATTCAAGAATGCCAGCATCACATTTTCTAGAAGGTTCATTGTTCAGCAAATGTGACAGCAAATACATGGCTGTTAACTGTTATAAAAATATTGGCTACTGCTTAGGTGACAGGGGAAATGGTGAGTGACAGCTTGTGACAGAGTCAACCTACTGAACGCTGGAAGACTCTTACTTGTGTCCTGACTCATGGGCAATGGTGAAAGCCAGACCCAGGCCGGTATCTTCATTGATGGTGCAGCTCCTGTACTTGCTGCACATCCCACTGATTGGTGCAAAACCTACAGAATCAGCAGAGCCAAGCATTTCACCATAAAGCTTTACCAGACAACATCTGTGTTTAAGTTTAGGAAAGGCTTGATTCCATACATCTATTCCATTCCATACATTCCTGCATCTTTTCCTTACTAAAAGGTAAAATCTTTAAGCTGGATTACAGACAGTCGAAAAATAACAAGGTTTACCATGGTGTTATTTTTTTTCAGTGTTGTGAAATCCTGTGAAAATCCAAAGCTTTTAGTGTGACCCAGATTAAAACCAGTGAGACACCTGAGAACCACCTTGATCATCAGTGTCCTGCTGTAATGCCAGATGTTTCATGACAGGTGCTGAAACAATTTTTTTAACTTTACTTCTTCACTACTTTAGCGGCTCTGACCTTTTTTTGTTCAAGTACACACACACACACACACACACACACACGCACACACACACACATACACAGACAGACAATCATATCTTTATGGGGACCGCTCATTCATTTCTATGGGAAAAATGCTAATGCTAACTATGACAACTTTAACTCCTACCCAGCCCTAACCATAACCATAAGTAACCAAACAAAATACAAGAGTTTTTTTTTGTTTTTTTTCCATTGCAGTCATGGATTTTAATAAAATAGCGTTTTCCCATATGGGGACCAGGAAACTGTAAAAAAAAACGGGTATTCATCAACCTTCTGGTTACAGGCACAGAACTTGAAGCTGAAGTTGAAAATGTACCCAAAATAAACTATAGCCAAATAGAATTATTATCAACCTAGAAAATCTGTCAAATAAGTCGGTGGTGTTGCCACAAGTTATGCCAACAGACACAAAGCCGTGCCGACAATATCTCTTTTATTCAATATCATCTCTGTAGAGTCCAAAATACTTCCATAAGCAGAAGGCACTGGTTCCTGTTCACTTTTCTCCTTCTTTTTCAGAAAAGCAACGCACTGTTTATGGGTGAGACCAACAGCAAGGATGAAAAACGATTATGACTAGCTTAGAGACTTGTACAGCTCTTTTCAAGGCAGAGGAACACTTTACATTGATTTTATATACATATACGGCATAATCTTGAAAAGGAACAATTTTTAAAATTGCAAAGCTTGCTAAGTTTCATTTTCCATAACAGAAGAAAACGCCTTTGCAAAACATTTCCATTTGGTAAATCTCATTCTTATCCAACTGTTTGACAATTATTATTATTATTATTACTTTGTTATGGCTAATCATGGGCGTTGCCGCCATTAAATCTGAGGGGGATGTGTCCCCCTCACATTTCATAATTATTCATTTAGACCCCCCCCCCCCACATTTAATATTAATTTTATGCCAGTGTGTCCCCCCCACATTCAAAATGCTTTTGATGCCCCTGTGGCTAATATTTTACAAATCACATAATATTTAAAATGCAAATTTGTTTCTATTAATTTGTATTAATAGTGAAATATATAAATCATTTTATTTAACTGTATGACTATAGGTAGCTAGCTACATTGCACGAGCTGTGTGCAGAGTCTGAGTCAGGTGACCTACCCAGGGTGTCACATGGCTCATTCTTCCAGGAGCAGATATCCAGGCCAGTAAGCAGGATGGCGTGATCATGTCGCCGCCCGTCTCTGCCGCCCAGCCCTGACTGCCACTGGCAGAAGCTGTTCAGGGTGTGGTCAGCATGGTGATTGATGACCAGGCCGTCCTGAGAAAGAAGGAGAGGGGGGGGTGAAGCAGAAGTAAGTGTTGGATCAAAGGGCTGCCTTATTCCTCAGTCCCAATGCTTTATTAAGTGAAAAACTGTCCACGAAAGATCAAATGAACAAGGAGAGACAGGGGAAGCCATCAGTAACTCAGAGCTCTGTACTACGGTTCAAAAGTCAAGCTAATACCTGGCGAGTGAGAAAGTAGAGTGAGCTATGATCCCTGCGAGTAAAGGCCTGGCTAATCAAATGCCGAGTCTCCTGACTCCTTCGGGCTCTTAAACAATTAGGCACTGACACGCATGAAATAACGTCTGGCGGCAAGGCAGCGGAGAAGCGGGAAAACGGCAGCATTTTTCTCATTCCTCTGCCATCTTGAGAAGATGAAGTCCATGAGCAGGACCCCAGAAGGACGGAAAAACAATGATGCCCTTTTAATTCACCTCCACAACCATCCATAAAACTCAAATATTACCTGGCTCAGAGTCAGGGCAATGAAGACCTAGTAATTATATACGACCATGCATATCCTTTTCTTTTACTGCAGTTTCTGTCTGGGATTTAATATCAGTTTACTCTCAATAAACAAATTACTCAGGGTCAGATATGTAAAAGCTAATGACAGACTGCCCCATGTAGTTTCCAAGAGTGAAAAAAAGGCGATCTCCGGGTTAAAATGGATCCCAAAATCTGGATGCCATACCTGATCCTCGTCCAGAAGAATCAGACCCACTAAAACAATGTTGATGTCACCTCCTATTGTTCCATCCTTAAAAAGGGTTGAAACCTAAAGGAAGAGGCAGATGGGGAAGAGAGCCTTATTGATCAATATCTTGCAAAATAGGTCATTCGATCCAATTTCCTGTTTGAGACACATAAATACTCAGTTAAACCACAATATTACCCTAATGAACCAGATGCTGGAGCGTTTGTCAGTGATAAGCATCTCCCCAATCTTAAATCTTAATCTTGATGACAATGAAAGTTTTCCTTTTTACTGACTGTAATGCCACTGGCATTTACAGCACGGCGCATTGTACGCATTTTGCTGAACAAAAACACATGATTTAATTGTTATAGCTGGAACCAGCGAATAGGGAACAATGAATGCAAATCTACTGAGGACTTCTTAAGTGTCGCAGATGGCCAGTAGGAGAGGGGAACTCGCCAGCGCTTCAGCCTGACATGAGGCACTAAATTACCTTTCCAGAAAACGACACCACGATGGGAGCTGGTTCTAATAATCAAGCCTCCATATCGCCGTGTTTGTCTTCGTTTACATTAGTTATTTTTTGGAAGCACCAAGTTGAATTCCCCACGTAATTGCTACAGAGAACCAATGGAGTATAAAAAAAATGATGAGGAAAGCTTTCCTCTAAGCACTTTCAGATACAACAATGCTGATTCTACCCACCTGAGTTTCTTTAAAACCAGGGTTAATGTCTATTAACCTTTACACGTGTGATTTATAACATTCAGTGAAGAATTTCACCTTTGTCACAGCCAGTGTACCTTCATTACATCTGACCTAGAAGATCTTTAAACCCTACCTGCAAACTCTGCATTTTCAGTTTCAAAACTTATGTCTAAAAGCCACAATCGTCTTCATCTCATTTCAATGGACAGAGTTGCACAGTAACAGAATACAAAACGTATCCATAGATTGTCTATTCACCAGAGATACGCACCACTCATATCTTTGGGAAATTACACCATCTTCATTTTCATCACATCTTCAACAGGTAACTGATCTGCCAAATTTTTTTTTTTTTTAACCAAAAAACACCTTCTTCCATCTTTAGAAAACTTTTCTGTTACAAACATTACAAAGATTAGATTACAAAATATATTTTTGAATCTAATGCTGTGGAAAAGTTATAACAAATGTGTCACCCAGTCCCTGAAAACAGGACATGCTGGGTATGTGTTATTTTAAAATGTTTTTACACAAGTTTATTTTAGGGGTAATTCGTTAAGAAATATCCCATTTTGATGTGACGGATGATACATGGTTTCTTCAAGTTGGTAAAGTTATTACATTCCCACAATGCAAATCCTAATGAAAACACCCTTGGTAAGATAGCTCTCAGAGTTGTCAACTGAACCTCATGCAAGCAAGCTGAAAATACTGATAATGTTTTGATTGACCTGTCGTGAAGCAGACGATGCAACCAGAAGCTGTTTCAGAAGCATTCACTTTTGGCTTATTTTTATGTTGTTATGTTTCTCGGCTGCTCTTGCACATAATTGTGACAGAGACATGGTCTGGCTCCCATATACAGGCTGAAAACAAACGCCACCTTCGCAAAATGAACTTTAAATAAAAACATGGAAGTTGGGATGTTGAGGATCTTGGTGCCATGGTACCTCATTACCTAGATCTGGTGCCTAACAAGAATTCGGTTCACTATGCTATAGTATAGTATAGTACAATATAGTACAGTGTATTATAGAATAATAATTTTATTATATAAATATAACATGGCAGTGATTTTATACTCTCAATCTGAGCTGAAAATTATTTTATTGGGCATTCTGCAAAATGTTGACTTTGTATTAATTCCATACAGTGTTATGTATTTCTTTAAGAGATATTTTATTAGTATCAATACAAAAGAACATAATACTCATGGTTAATTAAACACCTGTCTGCCATAGCCTTCAGCAATACTGACATTCTCAGCATTTTATGAAACATGGAACACCATGAGAGATGAAATTCCTTGGAGAATTACCCCAGCCCTGTGTTTTCCTGACCAGTAGATGGGATGCTGTAGAGAACGTTGCTCAGATAGGAGCTACAGTGCAGTATGCCTCTCATGTCAACTGATACACACACACACACACACACACACACACACACACACAGTTGTAGGGTAAACATATCCTTATGGGGACTGCTCATTCATTTCAATGGGAAAAATGCTAACGCTAACTATGACAACCTTAACCCCCACCTTGCCCTAACCATAACCATAAGTAACCAAACAAAATACAAGAGTTTCTGCATTTTTAGTTTTTTCATTGCAATGACGGATTTTTATAAAATAGAGTTTTCCCTTATGGGGACCAGGAAACCGGTCCCCATAAGGGGAAAAAATTGATATTTATCACGTTATGGGGACATTGTGTCCCCATAAGGAAAGATAAACCCGCTCACACACACACACACACACAGACCTGTACTGATATCTTTGTGGAGACTGTCCATTCATGGATGATACTTTATTGTATTATTGTATTATATATCATTTCTATGGGCAAAACCTTAATCCCAAGAATGACAACCTTAACCCTTATCCAGCCCTAATATTCACCATATGTAACCAATCAAAATACAAGACTTTTAGCATTTGTTAGGTTTTTGATAGCAGTCACAGATTTTTATAAATTAAACTTCTCCTTGTGGAGACCGAGAAAATGATCTCAACAATGTCCAACACCCCCCCCCCCACACACACACACAAACAAAGAGAGTTTGGTGACCCTGGGGAGGGGCAATATTTTTCAAAACATTCCTGTGGGACATGTCTACAGTCATAAAAATAAATTGCAACCAACTCACTCTCATCATTTTACTTATATAGTACAAATTTCGATGAGGTTATTTTGAAAACAGCTTATGTATTTCTGGATATTTCACAATTGGTTTACAGAACAACTTTAACAATGCCCCCCCCCACACACACACAAATAAAATGCCCAGTGAAAATGTGTTTATCTCAACAGTTGAGCTGTAACACCAATGTGCGGACTTAACTTCATGCATCTCTCATCTGAAATTATATTCTTAGTTTTACAGCTAATCTAATGAACACTTGAACTTACCATATTCAGTATTGTCAAGACGTAGGTGGTGATGTTACTACGGCCGTGATTCTCAATCATGCTTCTGTCCACCACCACCAAAGTTTCCACGTTCAGCTTCTGTGGAGCGTGAGCCTTGAACGTAATGGATCTCTTACCCCGAGATGTGTCACTGTATTCATCGGGAAATATGTAGATGTTTTCTTGTGGAGGTTTGGGTATATCTGTTTGGTAAGGGCAAAAACACTTTTAAGATGAATTTTAGTTTTCTTTTTAATTATTATTATTATTATTAAAAGACACATAAACATGAAAGTTTTAAATGTGACCTCCGTCTCCTTGTTCTCTTTCCTAAGCTTTAAATATCTGCCAGTTTTTTTGAGAGAAATCAAACTTGCCCTTTAAGTGCTGAATATCAATAAAAACAGTGAATTCATGTTGTAACTACATGGTGACAAGGCAGTGACAGTGGCAGTGTTTCAAACCTTCAGCCTCTCTCAAGAGCGTCAAATGAATGCTGTCTTCTCATATCAGATCAACACACAATGAGAATAAAGTGTTTAAATAGTGACAAAACGTTTCCGTTTAACAGCACATAACATGAGTGACTGGACAGGGGAGAACCAAAGACAATGCTTACATACATTTCTTCCGTCTTCCACAGTAGTGCTGTTTATCCTGGTTGCTATGGTGATGGTCCTGGTGATGCTCTTGCTCTTTGGGGACGTCGTTGCGTGCTGAGCCGGCCCGCATGTCCGTGGACCTCTTGTACAATATGTGGGGTTGGTGACCAGGGGGGGCAGTGAAGTTCCCTTTCTCGGCTAGGTCCCGTGGAAGGGGACTAATGATATAGTCCACCTCCTGCGTCCTAATCAAACCTGACTAGAGGAAAACAAATGTATATTAACTCCAAATTGCCTTGCTGATGGCACTTTACACACTTTAATGGAAATACAATGTATCTTAACCATCAGAAGAGCAATACGGACCCTAATAACCACTGACAAAAAAAGAATTTGTTAGGGAACAGTGCTTATACATTAATTTTAAGGAAACAATGTTGCCAAACGAATCAGAATCCTTTTGTTTGTACGAAAAGTGCAAAGAATTTGATCTGATGTAGGTGGTGGCATGAAGTATATAATTAAATGATTAAGATAAAAGTCCAAAAAAAAAAAACAGAATAAAAATGAAAACAGAAATAGATATGTGCAAATAAAAAGACACAAGTATGTAAATGTTATAAAAAAAAAAAGGTGATACAATCAGGTGTAGCATACAAACAGCTCTGGGGTTTACACAAATAAGCTTAGAAATCAATAAGAGCATAAAGTGTTACTGTAGGTGGTTAAATATGAGAAGATCAGAGACAGTGTGTTTCTCAGAGACCCTTATTTTGGCAGCCAATAGCTTGGGGGGATAAAGGTTGTTTAGATAGTGTTGACCACTGTTCTGTACCAGACATACTTAAAGATATCAATGGAAACCAAAAGGCTTGAATCGCTTCCCTACATATGATACGTTTTCTTTTGCAGTGGTTAAGTCTTTGAAAATACATATGAATGCCGTCGGCCGAGCTTTAGCAAAACACAGAACGCCATGGGAAAGTTCCCGCAATGTCCGATGCTGGACTGGGAACTCTGTGTTTCCCACAAAGGCATTTTATTGGGCAGCAACCCCCCGCCCCCCCACCGTGTCCCCAGACAGACAACTGCATAAGCTTCTCACAGCATCGGGCCCTAATAAAATTTCTTTATCAAGACCTTATAATGGAGCACTGAGCCGAGACACTGCACTACGCTCAGTGAGGACGACATCTCTGAGTTACTGCAGTATATGTGAAAAATATAGTATATATACTTTTTAGAGGATAGTGACTTATAAATAATATAATACTATAAATTAGTGACCAATTTTCACAATTTAAAAATGAACCATAGCCCCTTTAGGCTGTTGGACACCTGTTTGAAAATGAGATAACAGAATCTGTACAAACGGTATAAATTATGACCCTACTGTACGCTCAGTGAATGTCCATGTGTAATGAGAATCGTCTGCTTCTCTGTTAGGATCCCTGCTGTTTGGCATGCGTGACACGAGGCTGAAGTCTCAACGTGGCTCAGATGACACTGATAAGAAACAAAACAAATTTCTCTTCCCCGCGGAATTTGGTGATCAAAGACAAGAATGCACGGCAGCTAAGGGTTCAACTGGATCGTTGGAAATGCTTTCTCTGCATATAGTTTTGGATGAGAAACTGTCTCTGAGCGTAATTAGCCCTGGCCTGATTTTTCATCAATAGGATATTTATCATGGTTTTCTATTGTGTTATTGAAACAAAGCCCTATTGTTGAATGCCCACAACTGGCATTTGGGGAAAAAAAAGTCTGAAGATGAACCAAAAGGGCTTTCTTTAGAACTCTGTACTGCACACAATGGACCATTTTCTTAGCAATCCCTAGTACCTAGAGACACTGCTTTGTACTGAACTTAAACTAAATGTAACACTAAAAATATAACTTCCTAAACAAATACGAAAAACTGAAAATAGGAATTTGATTAGCTTTCAACATCTGCATCTGGTGACAGAGTAACTGTAATGTGTGGGTGTTCATAATCGATTAAACAGTTTTTGGAAAATCTGCACATTAGCTCTTTTATTACAGTAAGATGACAGTGATTGTTATACTGGCTGGGTCCTCGTGCGGCGATTGTGATGACGGGTCGGTGGCGAGCACTGGATTAACGAGGTACTGTGCAGACTTTCCATGTCTCGGGACTCTGAACGAGCCTCGTTCTCTGGGTCAGTCCTGCCAGCATAGGACCCTGAAGCGACATCACTGTAAATAATCTGAGCTTTCAACCCTGTCAGGATCATGCTTCTTCCATTCCCAGAGACAGTGCCTGGGTAAACGCCAACACAATGGAAAAACAATGAAGAAAGCCCTCTCGCAATATGACATCATCCACGGTCCCATACATCTCCAATCACTCACTGATCAGAGGACGTAAGAATTGCAACATTGATGCCGGTGAGTGTGATCAATCAAGTGGGCCAAGGTGAAACATTATGATGCGTATCACTGGTTGTTTAGGTAATAAAGGTTCTGTTCATTCTTTCTTGCTTCTTCCACCAGGGCCTGAACAGACTTCTCAGCTGACACTGCCGCAGCTCATTAGTCCGGCTTTCTGCCCACATTATGGGATGCACAGTGAGTGCGGCCCATCTTATGTTCAACCAGGCCTGCAACTTCTGCCATATCACCCGACTCATGCCTCGCATTTATGGGCTAATAAGCATTCAGAGACCTATTGATTAGGTACACCTGCTTGTAAAGAAACAGCCTTCTCCTTCAAAGAGCCAATCAGGTGCCTACAACCAAATATAAACAGAACATGGAACAAGAGGGTTCAGCCACTGTTCACGTTAGAATGGCTAACATGCCTTATCTAAGTTATTTTGCTAGGCTGTCGATGTAAATAAGAAATTGTAAGTGATTTGCCTGGAAAAATAAAGGTTAAATAAAACAATAAAAATCTTGAATGTGGTGTGATTGTTGGTGCCAGATGTGCTGGTTCCAGATTCTCAAAATCAGGCATCTGCCTAGGATTTCCACACACTAGTGTCTGAAGTTTACATAGAATGGTTAACAGCTAAACACGTGTGTGCAGAACATCAATCACACAATTTGTCAACCCTTGAAGCGGTTCTGGAGACCAATGTGGGTCCTACCTGGTACTAGGCAGGTGTATGTAATACAGTGGGCAGTACGTGTATACCTTATTCTATAAATTGTAACAAATGAGTAACAAAAGGCACCCTGTTGGGTATGGTCTTTATTGGGGGGGTTCTGTGTGGCTTAGGGCTCTCTGTGATTAGATGATCGCTGGTTCAAATCCGGTGCTTGGCAGAGTAGTTACTTGAGTAAATCCCCCGAAAAAATACTCTTGGGGTGCTAGATGGATGGCTCACCTTGTGCTCAGACCCCAAGCTTACTCTCACCTCCATATATATCTGCAGCTAAAGGAGTGCATGATGTCATATGTGAAAAAAACACATTGGAGTGTGTCTGCACTTGGCTCTTGCTGGGCCTTGAAGTGTTGGACTGCAATGGCCTGTAGTGACCTTGCAAAGATTGCCTGCTCTGTCCTACTGCAAAGCAGCTTTTGCTGTTTTTTTCCCCTCCATAGCCACTTTCTGACCTAAATCCAAGCTCAGCAATTTGAAACAGCATTGTACTGGCCCTTTAAGACTGGGCTGACAGCTCACCCAGTGGATTATATTCCATGTGCTCCCTTCCCAAATGTCAGACCCCTAACCTCTGAAGTAGGAGGATAATCTCTGTTGTACATCATAGTACTACTTTTATATGACTTTAATGTGTACTCTTCTTAATATACATCATGCTTGTTTAATTTGTGAAAAGATAGAAGTACAGAATATCTAACAATCTTGTGAAATTTACACAGTGGGTAATAAGTACAGTAAGATCAAAATAACAGATAGAACATCCTCATATTTAAAATATTACACAGCAGAAGGAATCAGCTTAATCTCATGGAAACATGGGAAAACAAACATTTGCACTTGCTGATGTGCTGTGATTTTCACTTTTCACCAGCTGGTATGGAGCGCTCTCTCCCTCGCTCTGTCTTTCTCGCTCTCTCTCTCGCTCTCCCGGACAGCCCAGCCATTATAATCGTTCCCATATCTCTCGTTCGTCCTGCTAGATCCCATCCTGAGAAGTCAAAGCTGATTAGCGCTAACAGCTGTGCAGGAACTGCTGGGGGGGGTGGAGGGGGAGGGGCGGGTGCTGCACTGCAGGTGCCCCCGCTGCTAATGTTCACGGCGCCGCGGACCTGCCCGTACCCGATAATGTCATCACCTGGGGCTGAGATGAGAGGAGGATTAGTTCCCTGTGTGAGGGACAGGACCCTTTCCAACTCGGGGCTGCAGTGTGTGTGACTGTAAACAACATGGGTGTGGGCAGGAGGCTTCATTTTTCGGTTTGACCCTCTGATGAATATTCATGATTATTTTTAAACAAAACCAAACCTACAGAATCAAATTATGGAATATAATACCAAATGGAACTAGCACCAATGACGCATGAAATATTTTTCCTTGTGTACTAATTTAACAATAACTTGAATAGTTTGAAGCCTTGGCATTTTCCAATGAAGCAAATGTCATTCACCCCAGCAACATGATCAAAAATCACACGCGAATAACACGAAGCATAACCGAACACTGAGATATATTGCCGAACCAGCCAAAAGTATAATGCTATTCCTGAGTACAGAACTGAGCATGGCTGATCCATAGAATTTCCTGCAATTCCAATGGATCTACCTCACCAGAAGCCTCGTTCCCCAATGAGGAACTAAATTAAAATCAACCGTCACCAACTGCTGTTTTAAATATCATCAAATTACATGCTGTATGCAATGAAGTGCAAATAGCAGCCGTAAAACCATAGCAGACTGACTGAAACACTACCTGAAAAAAGTGGGCTGACTGAGATTCTAGGCAGAGCCGAACTCCGGCACGGTCTGCGTTCACTAAAGACGCACGGATAAACGTTGGATAAACGGGGCACGTGGTTTTATAACCTCTAATCATATTAAAAGGATGGATAAAGAATAAAGTGTAAATGTTCTCCAGTCATTATCTAAAGGCAGTGGTCCTCAAGTGGTCTAGCCTCAGGGCCCTTATTGCTTGGTCACAGCCCAAATTTGTCAGCCATGATGGCGACACTAGAGCCTGCAGACCTGGTTGGTGTTGGTAAAGGACGACGGTAAACCACACACTCCGTGATCCACTTTCTCTACCTACCACTTATTTATTCTGAATCTGAATCACTTGAGAAGCACTGGTCTAAAGTAACATCAAATCAAGTATTAATTACAAATCCCAGTAACTGTCTGTACTACATTTCATATGCTGTGCTGTACACTTTATTGCTAGACAATGAGCTTAAACCACTACTGAACATGCAACTTAACATTAGGTTAAAAAATGACAAATAACGAAGCTTCAACTAGATTGACCACATTTGCTTCTAGTTGGTGACTAATTTAGCCTAATTTTCCATCTGCAGTACACACTGAGTGAGACACCCTTCATAGTACCAGGTACCGGTCTCTCCTTTACCGCCAGAAACACTTCAAGGGTTGAAAAGTTCTGTCTTTGGAGAAGCCTTTCTGCACATCAGTCTCCTACTGAGCTGTTATTTTTGCACAAGTCTCCTTCCTGTTATCTTTAACAAATCTAACCGTTCTCCTCTGACCTCTGTCATTAACCAGGTGTTTTCAACAACAGAACAGCCACTGACTGGCTGTTATTGTTTATCGCAGCATTCCCCCATAAATTCTAGGCACTGTAGCGTGGGAAACTCCCTGCAAGGTGGCAGGAACCGACATGCATGGAACCAACAATCGCACCACGTTCAAAACCACATAGCCCAAGCATCACAGCCATGCTAAGGCTAAGCCACACAGTGACTGGACCTTGTGACCCTCTCTGTCTACTGTACACATTCATTTGCAGATACATGATTTGCTGTTTGGAAAAGCAGGTTGTTTGCAATAACAAGGTGGTATAGCATGGGCAGTGGTGGGCTAATAGTTAGGGAAGCGCACTTACAGTATAATCATAATCAAAGACTGCTGGTTTGAATCCCTGACCAGCAAAGTACCACCGAGGTACCCTGACCAAGGTACCACCCCCAAGCACTGCTCCCCGGGTGCTGAATTTGCTGTCCCCTGCTATTTCATGATGTCGCATATGGGTTATATGCAGAGGACACATTTTGTAGTTGTGTGCTGTGTGTCAACAATGACAATTAATCACTTTCACTAATATACTGGCCACTAAGTGTATATAACCAAAGGATGCCATAACATTAAATCTCAGGAAAATGGTTGAGTTTGGACTGCATTACTAATGCATTGTGTACATTGTATACAACTGACTTGGTAGAACAGGCAGAAGCTGTTAGCGCTGACTGAGGCTGCTCTGTATGCTTGGGCCTTAAGTCCGGACGGAGAGAACCAAACGAAATGAATAACTTCATCCATGTGCCTCTCAAATAACTGTTGACAACTGCACCCTGGATACAGCATTATGTCTTGGACGATGTAGCTCCCAGAAGGGAGAAAATATTGCATTATGGAATGTAGATGAGGACAGTTACATGTTGTTAACTCAGCCTTTTATTGAATTGACCCAGAGCAGGCCAGGAAACATGGCTCACGCCAAGCGAAACTGCAGCAGCCAGCTGGAAGATGACAGGGTGAAGGTTTCGGTGGCCCTCACCGACCTACACGTCCTATAGTCCCACATTAGACGACAATGTGGAGGCTGACCCATCAGTGAATATCGCTTTCTACCAGCAGTCAGAATTCCATGCCTCTTCCACCTCTGGAGCTCCAAATGCCAAGAAGTGTTTATGCACAGCAACTCGACTATGACACTCCATCATGTAAGGCCCTCCTCTTCCATTTCATCTTCCGGACCAAGATGTTCAAGGTCCACATTCAACTGAATAGAGCCTTCTGGGCTGCTATGCTTAATTCTGCCTTGCACTCTGGCAACCCTTAAAACTCTGCTCACTCAGATCATTGACGTCTTCCCTTACTGCCACATGAAACTTGCTCTGAGAAGAAACATGCTTATACTGTATACATACAATAGAACTAGAAAAGCCATCATCATTCATGCTTTTGACTCAAATACTTGGCTCGCTCCAAAGCATTAGTTTAATCAGCCAAATTGTACCACTCTATACACTAAGGCAATTTCACTTGTACTGTTGCATTTAATAATAATGAACATCACATGTCTGTATATTAAGATCTACTACAGAATACATAATAAAAATCACGTATCAGAATGATACATGATACAGTATTTATTTAATAACACTCAAGTAATTAGCTAAATGCATCAATAAATGTACATATGTACAATATATCTAGGAAAATTGTCCACATCCTTCCAATACAAGTACTCGGCGCTCATTTTCAACCTCTTTCCAGTTAGTTAACTAGCTGAAATACGTAATGTGACTCCCTTCTTTTTAGCTAGTCATGTGTCATATGGTTGGTAATGAGAAATAACCAATGTGTGTCTTTGACACAACTTAGTTTTGTTACAGGCAGCTAGGGTTAGTCCGACATGTCTGGCAGAGGAGAGGTGAGAGACAACAGGCACGTCCACAGTTCGTCGTTTGTCGACACATCTGTCGATACTCACCATTCCTGCGCAGGTAGCTAGGGCCACCAGTGATTCAGCACTCGACCTCAGGGAACCCTGGTAAAAGCAGTGGTCATCTTCCCGGTAGGGCAGCGAATTCTTAGTGCCGTTCTTTCCCAGAGTCTGGACTGTAAAACCAGGTGCTAAAAGGCCACCTGCAGGCCGCAGTTCCAAGTGAAACTCCCGTCCCAGTCCGTGCAGCTTGAAATGGACCGTCTCGCTCGGGCCAGCGCCATTCGCTGACCGTTTCCTCCTATGATGGTGGGCGACCGCGTGAGAGATGTACCCCCCCTGGGAATCCACTTCATATGGCACTACAATATCAAACTCTGTGGGGAATCAGGCATAGACATCTTCATTTATTATGTTGTCAGCAGAGCCTGGAAGAATTTTTGCTTATAAGGCAAGACAAAGCAAAATGTAATCAGGAATGCTGGTGAGGTTATGACTCTAATAATTATAAGAGATAGAGAAGAAACATGTGCTTTTAGTCAGTTTTCATATAAACTCAATATGGCCACAGAAATTAAAAGAGTATGTTCGGGGTTTAAAAGCTAAAAATATAAAAAAAGAGAAATCATAGTACTTCATAAGCTAGGTTTGATTACACCAAATGTTAGCAATTAGTATCTGAAAAACACAACTCTTTTTTATTCCTTATTTATTTATATTCCTTATTTTTTCCCCTTTTAAACCAGTAACCAGTATTGTTATTTATAGAAAATATTATTTTACTCATCATGCTTAATTCTCTATCATTTCTGCAATACTCTGCATTGTGTCACAGTCCATAAAGCTACCGTCCAGCTAAAGGTAGTCTTATTTGATGATTCCCTGCGAAATTAGCTAGGTTGGAAGGCACACTGAGTAACAGCGGTGATTTAAATAATGCGGATGCACAGGCAGAGCCAAGCTAAGAGAGAATGCCTTTCTATAAAAAAGAACCTGTGTCTCTCTGGTTCTCTGACGTGCCAAAAATAAACGTTTTTAGCAGCCAGGGTGGTGAAGTGACGACAGAGTATGTCTACTGTAATTCTTACACTGCAATATCATAATTTGGTATACACCTTGCCGTTAGAGAACTGCAAAATATTTATTGTTATCAATAATAATAATAATTATTATTATTATTATAATAACCTAATGATTTTTACATAATTATACAGACTCAATTACATATTCTTTCTTAATTATTTAAATAGTATGTTCACAGAGAGGGCAATTATTGATTTCAGACCCGCGCAGTCCAATGATGTCAGTAAAATTCTTAAGTAGGCGAGCTCCCTCTAGTGCAAAGCCCTCAAACTGCAGCCAGATCAAATCAAAACTTGTATGGAAACATGAAGACTTTATTTTACTTCTGTGCAAAATATTAAGTGTCGTTAGGCACGTAGGCATTTATGATTTTGTTTTTATTTACAAATTTTAATTTAGTTTTTTGTTTTTACGAATAAATCGGAGAAAAATGCTTTGGGTAATTATATAGCACTCTCGCCTGTGTTTACATAGTAGTACAGTATGTCTGTTTAGGATTATTAGTCTAAACATATGGTACGTAACAATGAAAATGTGTGTAGAATTTTAATATTAATCACGATTTAATATTAATCATCATAACACACAGAGATATTGTGGTATACCACTCACCTGTAGTATGTGGCAATTGCACTACTTTTAGCAAGGGTAATGTCGCAGCATTGTTTTCCTTAGCAACAATTCCAAGTGTACTCGGAGACCATTGATGGCTCTGTAAAATATACAGATTTATGCATGCAAATTACAATGTAACAACACATGCAAATTTCTGCAATTTTCAATAGTGCAATACTTCAGTTGATGTATAAATGCATATCACAGTGACAAAACAGTCGCATTTCTCACCATGGAAAATCCTAGCGTAAAAAACAGCTGGAATAAAAAGTGAAGGTGCAGGACAGACATATCTGTTGTAAATGTAAGGTCATTCACGTCGTGGTTCAGCGGTAAGCGAGTAAACTTTACACTGCACTCCGATGACACCTTTCCAAATGCAAAGCGTTTGGCCGGTCGGACTGAAGCATCAGGACTGACAGTGTCTCAGGTGGTTTTCAGACCATTTAACGTGATCCCTAATCTGGCATCACTGAAGTAACCAGTTTCGGTGCCTCGAGTTTCACTCATTACTGAGGAGCTTTTTAGTCAACAGAAAATTGCACTATTTCCAAGTCATATTCATGGGCAGTTTTCGTTGGTAGATCTCATAGTTGTTTTTTCAGTTTGAAAAGAAAAGTTTTGTTTTCAGTTATTCCTCTTAGAAAAACGTTAATTTAACCTTTTTGGTCGATATTAAACGGGAACACATCCGCTGTTCAGTCTTTATTTAGTTCTTTTGCATGGCTCCAGGCTTTTGTTAATCCTTCAGCTGGTAATGACCGCTGATAAGTGTCATTTTGTGCCCCGGCTCCCGGCTATCCCCAGCGCATTTGTGTGAATGATCCCACTCTTTCCCTCTGAAGCGCACTATCTCTTCTCATCCAGCCGGCTTTTTGTGATGGAAGTGTAGAGCGACCAATAAGATCTTAGAGCGCCTGTCACTCTGTCACGTTCAACTACTTATTGTGATGGACGTGTAAACAGACCAATCAGATCTCAAAGCGCCTATGCGAGAGGCGGGAGCTGCGCAAGCCCTTACGGCGGCGCGCAGTCATGCCGACAAAACTAGTAGGACGGTGGGACATATGTGTTATACGTTCATGAACTCATCCATGTGTATCCCAGGTGGAAATCAGCCGCTTTGAAAGTCAACGTGTTCATTTGCCAATAATATAACAAATTTGCGCATTCAGATAACCACAAATATGTGACTTACATATAAATTTCACTATTTCCTTTCCTTGACTTTTTTAATGCAACAGTTCGCAAATCACGTGAAATATGAAGTTACTGCTGGCTCCCTCTAGAGGTTCTGAGATCAGAGAATTTGGACCACAGAAACATCTGTCAGGTCTCAAGATCTTAACATTTGAGAATGGCGCTCAGTCATCTCTAATCTCAAGTGCTAATATTTATTACAGTTATAGTAACCCTAAAACAATGGGCTCCTCAACATTGGGGGCCAGTGGGGCCTGGCCCCAGCAGATGTCGCAGTACATGACATGATCAATAATTCAATGTAGCAAGCATGTGCGTATAGTTAAAAAAATGTGCATATTTAACGCAGTTTTAATAATGAGCTGTGACTATATTCCAGCCGAAACTAGGTGAAAAAACAGAAAAAAATGCGTCTCAACAAAATATTGAGGTTTGGTTGAAAAGTGAAAGGTGAAAATCCATATTTTTCAGGTTGTTGAAAAACGTTGGTCTACATAAAAAAGCTGTATGGACTATGTGGTTATATGTGCTTCGAAACAGAGTCTATCTTGGATGAAACTTGTACCAAATCTGACAGACTAAACATAGCCCAATTTTCAACGACTTTTTTTGGTTTAAAAAAAAAGCCACGACAGGCCAACCAGATTTAGCACAAAAACAACGTCCCATGGACGTTTGGTGCTGGCTGGTGTAGTACGGTTATGTTGGCTCCATGCTGAAAGCAGCCAATAAAAAAAAATAATAGAATGGCATACGTGACGACTACAATACAGACCCAACTACATACTGTGAACCTTTTAAAAAATCTTGCGTCATATAAGTAAGACCCAATGAACAAAGACGAAAAAAACTATTTGCCTAGCAACAGCGCTTTTCCTCCGATTGATCTGAAGTGTCGGTTAGTTTTATCGTACCATATGCGGCGAACACTGAACAGTCACGGTACGTAGCCGTTTAGTAAACGTCATTTACAGTATCTGCGCTGAACACACGTGAAAAACAGTCTTTGTTTCAGTTAATTCGTGAAAACAGCCTTCAGTGCGCCTTATCTGAATCAGTGTGAGCGCTAAAAATCACTATACCGGTAACTACTAAATAAGTCAGAGAGAACATGCAACACCGTGGGGAAACAGGTTAACTCCTGCGCTGCGTTGCGTGACGTTAATGTCCGCCTTTGTGCTTTCCTTGATGAGGTGTGTTGTGTTTAGATTCATTGAGCAAGTGTCTAACTTCACTAGCGAGTCCGATGCTGCCCATAGCGAGTTCATCATGCCCTACCGGGAACTGGTGCTTTCCAGTGAGAGACGTCACTGCTTAAAATACACCATATATTATCTCTGTGTATAGATTTAAGATAAACTGTGCTAATTCGGTGGCATCTCCCATAACAGAAGCTTGGTTGCGCTGTATGCAGTAAATTCATGTCTTCTGTAATGTACACACGTACTGAAAGAATATTGGGGAATATTACAAACTGATTTATTTTGATTTTAGTGAGCATAAATAGGTATTTGCTAAGGTATATTGCTTGTATTTCTAAAATATATTATCTCAATTCTCATTCTGGTCAATAACTGAACTGAAAAGGTACACTGCAACAGAGCGAATCAGCCTGTGTTGCCTTGGTGATTTTTTTTTCCATTACGTTTGCAACCAGGCTCAGTATAAATTGATTTTTGTGAAAGGGACCTGCCATGCTCAAAGGGACACAGGGTTGATTATACAGCGTATTGTGATGTGGAACACAAGGCACCTGTGTGCAGATGTTTACAGTCTGGTTGCTGATAGTTTTTGCACACTTGGTAGTCTTCCAGCTATTTTAAGCTTCTTGCCAGTGTGGATGTGCCCATTGATAAACTTTATTAAGAGAGTCTGACAGGAATGTTCGCACACAGCTGACTTTCTCAAATGGCTTTGGCACTTTTGCCATCCATTGTTGGCTACTTTATGACTTCAATCGAAACTCATTTCGATCATGCAAAATCATCCATCATGAACACGCACGCACACACACACACACACACACACACACACAGACAGACACACATATATAAATGGTGGCAGAGGTATGATGTGGAGAGGAAGCATTGCTCTTCTGATATCTTTAAAAAGACAATGGAGATTTCACATCTCTTCTACCTAGTTTAGTTTACATAATGAGCCCTTACACCTTTTAACATGCACCTAGTCCTGCTTATGGTTGGACCAGTCTTCTAGTTAGCTGTGACGAAACAGGGTGATGAACATGTTCACCCAATCCCATAGTGGCATGAGCTACTGTGAGGTCAGTCTCTCATCCCGCACCGCTCCCACGCCCCGGCACCTGGTCTCACTCCTTCTGAACTCGGACAGCTGCTCCTCAGTGTTAATTGCTAGTCTTATTTAACCAGTCTAGCCAGTTCCCTTGTTGCAAGGTTTTGATGACTCTTTTCACATTCCAAGCATTCTATCACTCTGGTTTTCTTCCAAGTGCCTGAATCTCCTTTTCTTTATGGTTTTGTGTGCCTGATCTTCCCGATACCCAATCCTGTAAGCTTGTGTCTCATTCCTGCTCTCTGTATGAGTATGTATCCAGCTTCTCCTATGTCTGCACGTGTGCTTGTCTCCCTGCACCCTGTTTTGGTTCCTAACTACAACTTTGGCTCTACATATAGGTTTTCTGTATGCTCCTTGCCTGGATCCCCAGTCCCAGTGATGTTCTGTTATAGAGTACCTCGACATCACATGAATCCAGTGAAGCTTTTAGGCACACCTAAAAGTGTATTTGAAGGACCTTTGGCCATTTACTATCCTCCATCGCCCCTCTGACATTTGCTTCCACTGCAGTAGGCACTCTGCCTGTTCCTTTGTCCATCAGGTTCTACCTGATGCCAGAGAGATATGTTGGTTACCTGGAACACTGTTGAGGTTTTCATGCTTAATGTGAGCTGTATATCTGTCACAATGATGTTCTGATATCCACCAATCATAATTGCATTGATTTTGTCTTTTTGTTTCTCAACAGCAGAGCTTGTGAATGACCCATGGCACTTTTGCATCCAAAACAGTCCAGCTCTCTGATCCTATGTCCACTTAACACAACTTAAACAGGTCTTTTGTCACCCCTCCCATGGTCGGGATGTGGGAAACCAACCCTGGCTCCTGCTCGGTAGTTGCCTGCGGTGACTTGTCGGGCCCCTGCGGTCCCACCTCCGATGCCTCGTCGGTTGCCTGCAGTTCCCCTATCTCCAACTCGTCGGTCGCCTATGGCTTCACCGGCTGTGGCCTCGCCGTCGCCTGCCGCGGCTTCTACTCCCTCCTCGCCTCCTCCAGCAGTCCCTCCACATTCCTTCGGTGTCCCCTCTGCCTCCTGCCTCGCGGTTGCCGAGGGTCCCTACGGCTCCAGCCTCGTGGTCGCCTGTGGCCCCTACTCCTCCCGCCTTCGGCCAGCCAGGGTTCCCTCCAGCTCCCTGGTTCCCTCCGGCTCCCTGGTTCCCTCCGCCGTTTGCCTCTTTGCTTCCTGAGTCGTGCCCTGAGTCCCATCGTGATCCCTGTGTTGCCCCATTGGTCCCTTTAGGTGTGCGCCTTTTTTTTTTTGGGGGGGGGGG